ATGGGGTATTTAAGCACCTGCCAGACACCTCTTCATTGCTGGGACATCATCTACCAAATGGTAACTCGTGTACAGCCGACTAACCTTTGTTGCAGCTGGTTCTCACCAACTGTGACTCCTCCAGGACCTTCCACAGCCTGCCTCTTCAGATCCTCCCTAGGATCTCATCGCTCCACTGGACTCCAACTGTGGATCAACGGTGTCCCTTCAACAACCACCATTAAGCATTCTCCACTGGGTCAACCTGCTCCTCTCTCCACCGCCAAGTACCTCAGGACTGGATCTCCTGCAAAAACCCAGGACCTCTCCTCTTCTCCTTCTCGGCCTCCACCTGCAACACAAACAGTAAGGAGTCATTTCTCTATCTTCAAGAATTGAAAGATTCTAAGAGACAACCAGAACCCATACTCAACTATTCTTCTTCTCCGTTATAGCTGCGACGACACGATCACCTGTAAATAAAGTTCACTTACCTTTTGTAGTTCTGGCTTTGTCTTTATTGAATCGGTCTGCTCACTTGGGGGTCGACGTTGATAAAAACCTGATAGTATGTCCCACCCAACCACCCCCCCCCCCCCCCGAATAAGACTGAGGAGGTAAAGACTCATTTAGAACCAAAAGTAAACACTGACCCTCTCCACTTAACTTTACAGAGGATTTTTATGCAGCAACAAATAACTCAAGACAATCTACGGAAGTTGGGTGGTATGGTGTTCTCTCTTCAGAAACAAATGGCGGACCAAGCTTCATCTTCGACTCAGCCCATCCTTCTGGAACCTACGATTAGGATTAACAATCCGTGCCCCAAGGAACCGGACGTTCAACTTTCTGAGATGTTCGAAGGTAACACACGCAAATGTGGTGGCTTCGTTCTCCAGTGTAACTTGGCCTTTAATCATGCTCCCATTACCTATTCATCTGATTCTGCCCGCATAACTTATGTGGTTAGTGCTTTAAAAGGAGAAGTGTTTCAGTGGGCACATACCTACCTTGGTAGACGCCCCATCGAAACTCTGACGTTTGCTACCTTCTTGAAGGATTTTCTTCGGGTCTTCAATCACCCTTTGCAGTAGGAGGAGGCAGCCCAAAAACTTTTTATGTTACGTCAGGGGAAAGAGACGGTGTCCAAATTCGCCATCCACTTCCGCATCATCGCTGAAGAATCCAGCTGGGGTGAGATAGCGTTACGCAGTGCATTCATTAACGCTTTAAATCGACAGATTAAAGACCAACTAGTCACCTGGGACATCCCTTCGGATTTGGATGATGTAATTTCTCTGGCCATTCGGATTGACAACAGGGTTCGGGAGAGCCTCTTAGAAGAGGACTACAAGTTCCACAAACTTCCTCTTCCTGGAAGTACTGACTCCGCAACCGCAGATTCCACTTCTGAACCCGAACCTATGCAGATTGGTATGACTCGGCTTTCTCCCGAGGAGCGACAGCGCCGCCTCAAGGCCAACGCCTGCATGTACTGTGGGAGAAAGGATCATGCGATTGTTGCCTGCAAACTACGGGTAAAAGACAAAGCCCACAAGTAATACAGGAGATACTGGTGGGTACCACTTCTTTGTCTCCTGAAAATAATCTGTCTACCAACAATCATTTGCATTAACTCTGTCAACTTTCCTATCCAGGCGTTGATTGATTCTGGTGCTGAACAGAACCTAATCAGCAGAAACTGGTGGAAGAACTAGATATCCCCACAATCAATTTAACACCAGCTATCGCCATCTCTGCCCTCACTGGGCAAACCATCTCTTCCATCTCATTAAAGACATTAAAAATAATGTTTGTAGTATCTGGGAATCACAGAGAGACGGGTGAGTTTTTTGTTTTCGATCTCCTACACCACAACTTATCTTGGGTCATCCCTGGCTTAAATTGCACAACCCTCAAATTAACTGGGTTGAAAATGGAGTTGAAAAATGGGGAGAAAAATGTTCTTTAAGATGCCTTCGCTCAGCCATCTCTTCAGGTTCACCTCCTAAATTAAAAGTTGAAGACATTGATCTTTCGACAATACCTTCAAATTACCACATGATGGACCAGTCTTCAGCAAACAGAATGCTTTATCTCTACCTCCACACCGTCCATATGATTGTGCTATCGACTTACTTCCTGGAGCTCCATTACCCATAAGTAGATTATATAACTTATCTGGGCCTGAAAAGATATCATTGAAAGACTATATTGATGACTCTTTAAAGTCAGGCATTATCCGCCCTTCTACCTCTCCAGTGGGGGCCTGTTTCTTCTTTGTGTCAAAGAAAGAGAAGACTAAGACCCTGCATCGATTATAGAAGACTCAATCAAATCACTATTTAGAACAAATATCCTCTTCCTTTAATCGACTCTGTCTACGAGCAGCTCCAGGAGGCCACCATTTTTACTAAACTTGATCTACGCAATGCGTATCATCTAGTGAGAATTTGCAAAGGAGACGAATGGAAGACAGCTTTTAAGACACCTTTGGGACATTTCGAGTACATTGTTATGCCGTTTTGGTTAACAAACGCCCCGGCAGTTTTCCAAGCTCTCGTTAATGACGTTCTTTGAGATTTCCTCAACGTCTTCGTATTCGTGTACTTAGACGATATACTCATCTATTCCAAAGACGAAGAGCAACATACTCGACATGTGAAAGCTGTTCTCCAGAGGTTATTAGAAAACCAGCTTTTTGTCAAGGCAGAGAAATGCGAATTTCACGCTACCACTGTGACATTCCTAAGGTTCATTTTTGAGAGAGGACAGGTTCGATCCGACCCTGAAAAAACCAAGGCTGTAGTAGAGTGGCCTACACCCTTTAATAGGAAACAATTACAACGGTTCCTGGGGTTTGCCAACTTTTACCGACGGTTTATTAAAAACTATAGCAAAGTCGCCACTCTTCTGACCTAGCTCACCTCTACCCTCAAAAGGTTCAACTGGACACCCGAAACTGATGCTGCTTTTAATAACCTCAAAAACCTTTTCTCCACAGTCCCCATTTTATCACACCCTGATACCAAGAGGCAGTTTATCGTGGAGGTTGACGCTTCTGATTCGGGAGTGGGGGCTGTGTTATCACAAAGAGCATCTAACGATAGAAAACTTCACCCATGTGCCTTTTTCTCACGTCGTTTGTCTGCTGCTGAGACGAACTATGGTGTTTGCGACTGTGAGTTATTAGCCATTAAGCTAGCATTAGAAGAGTGGAGACATTGGCTAGAGGGAGCTGAACTCCCCTTCGTAATTTGGACCGATCACAAGAACCTAGCCTACCTCCAGGGGGCTAAAAGACTTAACGCCCGACAGGCCAGATGGTCGTTGTTTTTTGATAGATTCAATTTTTCTATCACGTATATTCCAGGGTCCCGCAATGTCAAACCAGATGCTCTCTCACGACAATTTTCTACAGTCGAGAGTCCGGACACCCCTGAGAACATTCTTCCTTCCTCTTGTAAGGTGGGTGTAATGACTTGGCCTATCGAAAAAGACATCCTGGAGGCCCAACAGACTGAACCGGATCCCGGTACCGTCCCTCCGGGAAAGATGTTAGTTCCTACAGCCATGGTGGGTAAGGTGTTGGATTGGATCCTTACGGCTAGGTTTTCCTGCTACCCTGGTGTTAGATGCATGCTACATCTTGTTAAAGGATCCTTTTGGTGGCCTAATGTTATTAAAGATGTTAAAAATTTCATTTCAGCCTGTCCCACTTGTGCTCGGAACAAGCACAGCAACCAGCCTCCTGCTGGCCTGCTGCTACCACTTCCCATCCCCAGCCATCCCTGGTCACACATCACCTTGGACTTCGTCACTGGTCTCCCCGTCTCTGATGGTAGCACAGTTATTTGCACCATTGTCGACCGCTTTTCCAAGTCTGCTCATTTCATTTCTCTACCTAAACTTCCCTCTGCTCTTGAGACTGCTCAGATTGTCACTGAAAATGTCTTTCGCCTTCAAGGCATCCCTCAGGACATCGTCTCCGACCATGGACCACAATTTGTTTCTCAAGTGTAGAGGGGGTTTTGTCGAGCTTTGGGGCAACTATCAGCCTCACGTCTGGATACCATCCTCAATCCTACGGCCAAACAGAACGTTGCAACCAGGAACTGGAAACAGCTCTGTGGTGCGTAATTGACAGCAATCAATCATCCTGGAGTCAACATCTGCCTTGGATTGAGTATGCCCACAACTCACAAACCTCTGCAGCCACTGGAGAATCTCCTTTAGAGGTTGCTATGGGCTTTGCTCCTCCGCTGTTCCACTAACAGGAGCCTGATGTGGGCGTCCCCTTGGTTTACCTTCACATCAAATGCTGCCGTCGGATCTGGCGTCGGACGAGAACAGCTCTGTCCAGATCTTTGGAGCAGAACAGACGCTTCGCAGACAGACGTCGGTCCAAGGCTCCTGACTACAAGGTTGGTCAAAAGGTATGGCTGTCTACCAAGGACATAACCTTAAAAGACACCCCCAAGAAACTCTCCCCCAGGTTCATCGGGCCGTTTCCTGTGGTAAAGGTGATTAACCGGTCAGTGGTGCGTCTACAACTCCCACCTGCCATGAAGATACACCCCACTTTCCATGTATCTCACATCAAACCTGTAACCACCAGCCCTCTACACCCTCCGACCAACCTCCCTCCTCCGGGTTACGGCTCGGAGGAACGATCATGGGTTCCTAGATCTCAGATCATGGACCCCGGACTCATCTCGTCCTTCTTTCAAGCTCACCCCGAAAAGAGACTTAGATCACCAAGAGGCGATTCTTGGGGTGAGGGGTGGGTCACTGTCGGATTCCAGGGTTTTTTGCCTGTCACTCACTTTTCCTTTCACAGCCAATTAACCTTAACTCACTCCACCTACTGCTGCTCTGAGGAGGACTGCCTGATAGGGTATTTAAGCACCTGCCAGACACCTCTTCAGTGCTGGGACATCATCTACCAAATGGTAACTTGTGTACAGCCAACTAACCTTTGTTGCAGCTGGTTCTCACCAACTGTGACTCTTCCAGGACCTTCCACGGCCTGCCTCTTCAGATCCTTCCTAGGGTCTCATCGCTCCACTGGACTCCAACTGTGGATCAACAGTGTCCCTTCAACAACCACCATTAAGCATTCTCCACTGGGTCAACCTGCTCCTCTCTCCACCGCCAAGTACCTCAGGACTGGATCTCCTGCAAAAACCCAGGACCTCTCCTCTCCTTCTCGGCCTCCACCTGCAACACAAACAGTAAGGAGTCATTTCTCTATCTTCAAGAATTGAAAGATTCTAAGAGACAACCAGAGCCCATACCCACCTATTCCTCTTCTCCCTTACAGCTGCGACAACACGATCACTTGTAAATAAAGTTCACTTAAATTTTGTAGTTCTGGCTTTGTCTTTATTGAATCGGTCTGCTCACTTGGGGGTTGACGTTGATAAAAACCTGATAAGATGAAACAATGCTTCTTCCTCTGATTTGTGAGGGGGGGGATAAAACTCCTCTCCAATGTTATCATTCTCAATTTAAATGAACTTGTGATGTTTTGGGGGCATGAAAGCTGGGTTAGGTCTCAGCGCAGCTGAACTGCCATCAGCCTGAACCATGAGGCATGACGGGGCAGCAGAGAGCGCAGCTAAATCGCTCACTCTCTTCGCTGATGTCAAAGCCAACAGCAGGGCTGTGTTAAGCGACAGGAATTTAAGTGACACCTGATCTAAAGGATCAAAAGGAGCTTTGATCAGAGCTCGCAGGACCATCGTTAGGTCTCACTATGGAGCTAGTGGGCGTGACACCGGTCTGGGTCTCCGTAGACCTTTTAAAAAACGTTTCATCAGCGGATGATTAAAAACTGTTCTGTCACCGAAGCCTTCATGACAAGAGGAAATAGCTGCAGCATAAGTTTTAATTGTGCTGAACGCTAGATTTCTGTCCATCAGCTGCTGCAGAAAGGACAGCACGCCACCTAGTGGACATGAGATGGCCTCTACACCTTTCTCCGTGCACCAGCGTTGAAAAGTTGTCCACTTTGATGTGTACAGCGCTGTGGTGGAAGCGGCTCATGAGTCTTGGATTGTGCGCACCACTTCCTGAGAGAGGCCCATCTTCTCTAAGCGGATCCACTCAGCGGCCAGACCCACAGGTGCTGGCCTAATTCTGGGTGACTCCTGATTGCTCCTCCCACCTGGAGAAGAGCATCGTCCCTCCACAGCAGTTTCCACGGTTGACCCGATAACAGACGTTGCAGGTTTGGGAACCACGTGGCGCTCACGTGCTCGGGGGCCACAAGAATGACTGATAGTTCTTCCTCCCGGACTTGGTTCAGAAACCGTGATATTAGAGGGACTGGAGGAAACGCGTAAAGGTGCATTTTTGGCCACGGGCCATGGGCAAAAGTGTCCACTCCTAATGGTGGGTCGTCCCGTGGGCTCAGTGAGAACCATAATTGACACTGGGCATTCTCCCGTGTGGCGAACATATCCACTGCTGCTCTGCCAAACCTGCTCCAAATCCGAGAAATCAGCTCGAGATGGAGACTCCAGTCCCAGTGGCGCAGACCGCCCCTGGACATTATGTCCGCTCCTCTGTTCAGGATGCCGGGTATGTACACTGCTCTGATGGAGAGCAGGTTTTTGTGTGCCCAACACAACAGCTGTCTCGCAATGCGTAACAGTTGGGCTAAACACACGCCCCCACAGGTTTATGTAAGCTGCAGTCACTTTTGCCCCTTTTCCACTGTCACGGCGCAGGTCAGATATTTCCGGATTGGCACGTGTTTGAGGTCTTTTCCATGGTTCTTGAGACCGGCTCGCCTCCCTAAATTCTGGCCCAGCTTCTCAAGGGTTCCAAGCGAGCCGAGCAGTGACGTCAGAAACGCTGTCGGTCACTGATTGGTCGGGGGGAGGAGTCTGTGGAGTCTTTCCAAACAACCCGATCCGCCATTTTTCTCTACCGCCTGCCATTAGCGATAACTCGAGGAGCATATCTTTTAGTATTTTGAAGCTATACAAAAACAATAATGTCAAAGCCGTGGTCAAATGCAGAAGTGCAGGTGTTGTTGTACTTGGTGGCCAAAGAAAAAAGTCAAAGCGAGCTAGATGGAGCGATTGGAGGGTGGTTTGGACACGGCCACTGCTCTACTTGAATCATTTATAGAAGATTGTGAGTGTTTTCTAACTTTAAAAAACATATTTTAAGTTACTCATCCCATCGGTTCTGAACATATTTTTAACTGACAAAAGAGGCTGACGCCATAATAGGACAACATCGGTGCTATGATGCTAAGCTAATTTGCAAAAACTCTAACTGTCCTCCGGTCCCGTTTCTCACTGTATTTTATCCAGAACATATTTCAGCTTGAGACGGTTCATCTCTAAACTCCACATTAAACCCTCCAAGCCTCCTGGCTTCTGCTCCTGCTCCATCAGCGGAGTCTACACCTGACAGGTCTCCGTCGCAGGCTCGCAGCCCACCTGCACCTCACAGAACAGAACAACGCTACAGCCTTCTGTGCTTGGTAAGAACAGATGCAACATGTTCCACATCACTTTATTTGTGCCGATAAGAACTTACTTTTATTTTATTTTTAAAGTAAAATAATAAAATGTTGAATAAATACTGAATTGGGATGAAATTATGTACTCAGGGTCCCAGTTACAGACAACAAAATGTAAAAGAAAAACAGTAATAAGATCTAAGATATGAATTAAGAAAAATATCAACTAAAAAACATCTAATAATACACTAAGCACTAATAGCAGTAAACAATCAAAACAATACGTCCAACAGCAACATGAACTTGAGTTTGTGCAGCCTCATGAATATATAACCAGGATAATCACTGTGAAAAATCACATCATGTTGCTGCTGATCTGTTTCATGATGCTGCTGATCTGTTTCATGTTGCTGTGTACATTTGTGCTCATCTGTTCACACAGACTCATGTCCATGCTGCTGTTCAGCGTATTGTGTTTATTGTTTTTATGCTATTAGTGCTTAGCATCTTTTTAGTTGATGTTCTTATTAGTTCATATCTTAGATCTTATTACTGTTTTTCTTTTACATTTTATTGTTGGATGTAACTGGGACCCTGTGTACATAACTTTGATCCACCACTAGGGCATTAACAGAGTACTCGAGTAATCTACACATCGATTGCTAGGACATCTATCGAGGTTAAAAATGTTACATCGAGTATCTGTAGTGACGTCATATTATGTGACCACCGTATGACCGTAGGGGGCGGTGTTGCACTGTTGCAGGTCACAGAGTATGGTGTAACACCGGGTCCAATCCACCGAATCAGAACCAGCTTCCTCTGACCTTGTTTCACAAACAAAAAGCAAAAAATGTTAATCTCTAATCCTATTAAAAAATCTATAAACATATTAATCTGTAAAACTAAACTTATTGCGCACTACAGCTGGCGATGGTGCGGGGTGGTCGACCCCCACCCCCCCCCAAACTGTTTTAAGTTTCGTTTTTGACGTGCTGCATGTTTCTTCACGTTTGCAGTTTAATAATAACTAATAGTTTAGTTTTTCCTATGACTTATTTGCAGTATGATAAATGATAGGAGCATAATATACGCTCCCAATGTTTTGTTGGTCTTTTTTGTTGTTGTAAATAATTACCTTTTTTTGCAGTTTTATTTATTTATTTTTGTATCTTGAGATCTATGATGTCATCAAATACTCGAGTTCTACTCGGGTTTTATTATGTTAATGTTGAGTTTAAAAATTATATACTCGTTCAACCCCTATCCACCACATGTACCACATGTGGTGTGATTGACAATAAAGAATATCTGTATCTGTATAATACTTTGATTCATATATCCATTGTTATTATTATATTATTTTCATTATTTTTAAATCAATTTATTTTTCATTTTCTTAGTTAATCAGTTTCTTATTATTAATATAGCTGTTCGCTGCACCTTTCTTTGTTTTATGAATTTATTCAAAAACAGTATGTAGCTTGAATTAACCACCTTTTTCTTCTTTCTAGGCAAGAGAAAGAGAAAAGTGTCCAGTAAAGAAAAGTCTTATTTCAGCACTGAATGAACATGAAAACTGAACCGGACACAGCAGGAACAACACTTGTGTCTTCTGGATGAAGCCCGTGAGGCAAGCGATAGACAAACAGAAAGACAATCATTAGTTGGATGCAGTATTTTTATTTTTGTACATTTTTCACTTACTTAAATTTTTTTCTTAAGTGGTGTCCTTGAACATTAAATTTCCTAAACAAATTTTACAATGTTAAATGCATATACCTGTTGTGTTTGTTTAAATTCATACTGGAAGTTGAGACAAATTTCCAATTGCATTTGATCTTTAATGAATCATAAGAAAAATATTACCAGAATCTGCTCAACTGTAATGTTATAAAATTTTTGGTTCTAGGATGAAGTGAGGCAAAAACAGTCAAAAATTCAGAAAGGACAGTTATCAGTTATCGGCCGTACAACTGTGGCCCGAGAGACTCAGCTGAAAGCCCTGGTGCACCTTTTATTTGAACCTGCAGAGATTTGAACAGCTGATCTGAAGCAAACAGGCAGGTGTTCAACTGAACTGACCACTCCTGATGTGTCTGATGGTCTCCTCCTTTGCCTTCTATCCATCCATCCATCCATCCATTATCTTCTGCTTCAGGGTTGCGGGGGCAGCAGCTTTACCAGGGAGGCACAGACATCAACAGCATGCATGCTCAATAATCCAAGTAGAAAAATCTAAAAAAGTTAAGTCTGGTTCTCTGGACATTCACAAAACAAACAATAAATTTTATAATAAACAAACAATAAATGTTTTTTTGTTTGTTTGTTTTGTTTTTTTGAATGTCCAGAGGACCAGACTTAACTTTTTAAGATTAATAAGTAATACATTTATGTTTTAAAATTTAATGAAAGACAAACCTTTAAAATTTAAGGACAAAATTTAACCTAATTGTTTTCAAGTCTGTAGCTTATTGTAAAAGCAGTTCCAAAGATTACAGCACAGTGTGATGTTTTGCAATTTTAACATGAACTTTGTGCATATCTGTAAATAATAAAAGTGAAGATATTTTTAATACATCTTTATTGTAAAAATCTATACTAAAATGGAAAACACATGGGTTTAAAGCAGGCAGGGAAGGCAGTAAGGTAGGATTATGAATCAGATTTAAAAGTTACAGCTCATGAGGTACTCCTTTAAAGCATGACATCTCTTCCACAACATCCTGTGACAAAGCCTTCAGGGTGTTCTTCTTCTAATACGTTTAGTGGTGGCTAGTAAATAGCTTAAGGGAGCACTACCGCCACCAGGTGGTAAGACGAGTTGGATTCTAGTCCCCGCCTACAGAGCCGTTGCAGAAGTGTAAATGGAAACGCAACGAGACACGAGCCGATCTGAACCGACCCAAACTGACCTGATCCGCGCCGTGACAGTGGAAAAGGGGCATCTGTTGTCTGTGTGGAACAGAACATGTTGATTCCGCATCAGGGGAGCAAAATGCTGAATCACATTCCAAACTGTGAGACATTCCAAGACGTTTATATGAGCTGATGTGTGAGGTGGCCACAGCGCCCCCACCACTTGAGACAGGCACGTTCCTCCCCAGCCTGACAGGGACGCGTCTGTGAAAAGTGAGACGTGTGACGTAGGTCTGCTGATAGGAACTCCCTCTGACAGAGTGAGAGGGTTTCTCCAGTGATTCAGGTCGGTTCCCACGGAGGGGAGCACAGAGATTATCCGCCTCTTATGACGTACCGGATCTATGCGCAGGCGAGCAAACCATCTCTGAAGGCATCTCATGTGGAGTAAGCCCAGCGGAACCACAGCGTGAGCCGAGGACATCGTACCCAAAAGTTTCCTGACAGAGACGGCCGTTACTACTCTGCTGGGTTTTACGCGGCAGAGCACGTCCTTTAGAGCTTCGACTCTCGGCTGTGATAAGCGGGCTCTCATAGTGACTGAGTTTAGCTCCACTCCCAGATAAATGATAATCTGGGCTGGGAGAACCAAACTCTTCTCCCAGTTTATGGCGAAACCTAGCTTTAACAGGTGTGACGTCAGCGCTTCGGTTTGCGCAGCTGCTTCCTGCCAGGATCTAGTTAGCAGCAGCAGATCGTCCAGATAAAATAAAATTCTCATCCCTGCTCTGTGTACCAGCTGCAGAGCCGTCTCCACGTATTTTGAAAACATGCGTGGGACGAAGTGTTGATATTTTTGGACTGGTCCTATGGTTTTGATCTGCTCAGAGACGGGATTATAAAGAAATTATGACCCGGTTCTGACTGGGTTAAACTGGGCCAGCAGTTTTAAGAGAGTCTCCCTGGGATTTCAATATCTGTCAAGGAATAGAGTTTAATCTGCTTGCCACATCACGCAAAAAGGCTTTTGAAGCAGTCTCATATTTCCTAACACATCAGAACCACATAAGATCCACTG